TGACATTAAGAATATGCAATCAGTCAAGCAAGACATTGACTCCAATGAGTCATACAGTGGGGATGATGCCTTGGTGCTTGCTGTGGCTTTACATAGATCTAACAGAAATCTTGTACCTCACAAAATTTCATCATTTCCTTTCAAGACTAAATCTACGTGCCGCAGAAAACGCGAGTTCATCCCAGAAGAAAAGAAAGACACCATTTACTGGGAAAGACGACGCAAAAACAATGAAGCTGCCAAGCGCTCAAGAGAGAAGAGACGCATTAATGACATGGTCCTTGAAAACAAGCTGATGGCACTTGGAGAGGAAAATGCCTCCCTCAAGGCAGAACTGCTGTCTTTAAAAATGAAGTTTGGCTTAGTTAGTTCATCAGCATATACCCAAGAAGTTCAAAATTTATCTAGTCTCCCCACAATAAACTCCCGTGAAGAGTTGATATCTCCCACTGCTGTCCAGAGTTTATTCCAAAGAGATCTTGTACATGTAGAGCTAAGCAAAAGCTGTGCATCAGCTATCAAACACTTACCTCTCATGCCTGAAACATGGGCTGCAAGTCAAGCAAGTTTTACTGTCTATAGGACAGCAGATTTTAAAGAAGAACCAGAAGAAAATTCCACCTGGCAGGAAACTAGTACACCATATAAACTCTACAAAAATTGCAAGGTTAGCCATTTGTCTGATGTCTACTCTCAAGCAGCATCATTCATGCAGACTGCCAGGTCATCCAGTAACTCACCCAGGAACTCAGATGAAAATTCTTTATGCAAAGCATCAGATGGTGAGGATGAGCAGCAAGTCCCTAAGGGATTGGTGCCTTCTGTAGCTGACCAAAGAAGCGTTATTGTTTCTACTCACAAAGTGCCAGATGTCAGTTCTTCAGCTTTGCCACATAAACTACGAATCAAATCAAGAACCATCCAAATTAAAATGGAGCCAACTGACCCTGAATATGAGTCCTTTGCAAAGAATTCTTCTGCCAGCATTTTAGAAGGAGTGTGTTTCCAGACCACCCAGAACTCCTCAGCATACATGCAGCCTTCTCACTGTCCTTTGTCGGTACAGGTGTCCAACATGCAAGGCTGGAGCCGTGGGTCTGAAAGCAGTGTTTCTACACAGTGGCTGCCAGAATAAACAAGTCTTAAGCTCAATACTAGTTCAAAACCATTGTAAATTCCTATGAACACGCATATACTGAGGATATTTATCCAAAAGTGTTGGCACCGTGTCAACAAAACTGACTTCTTTGACAAAATTAACCACAACAGTGAAAGATTCTGAAACAAAGTTAGCCAAAAGCATCAATGTGTAGACTTTATCAAAGAGATGCTGATGTTCATATCACAATGAATAAAAGGAATGTTCATATGATCTTGTTGTACTTTGGATTTTAAGTAGTACTTGTGGCATTGTTAACACTGATATTGAGTACATTTAAAAAAAACTAAATGTTAAATTTTTCCCAGACTTGTGATTTTTTTTTAGAAAACACAGTTTATTAAAGTATGCTAAGAGACGATATCTGTTCAGCTTTCAGGGGTTTATTCAATACTACACTTAGAGTTAAATTATTTGCCATGTATTGTTCTTATTTATTTAACATAAACAAGAGCCTGACATTCCTGCTGCTCAACTGGTGCAAATCCAAAATGTACTTGGTTATTGGCAGAACTACAGAAGACCAGCATGTTACAGTGAGTGGTTGGCTGATACAGCTCTTTCTCACTCCACATGACTTCACATAGAAACACAGAGATTGGGTAAACAAAATTGCTTAAGACGTGATGATCTATTGTGAAACTGTAAATTATGTTATTTGTTCTATGATAACATAGTTCTATAATTACATAGTTATCGTAGAACTCCAACTCCACCCCAAGGAATAATTGAATCCTTAAATCTTCTGTGATCTTCTGTGATTTGACATCTCTCTGATACAAGTAAGGGAGCTATTACTCATAACTTCACAGAACCTCCCCTAAAAAAAAAACAACTAAATAATCCTTTAAGTCACTTTACCAATTTAATTGATCAGTAATTTGTTGCCTCACATAACGTTCCATAACATTAATTTTGTCTGATTACCCACTGGACATGCCCTACCCATGCACTGAGTAAAAAAAAACAACCCAATAGAGCCAGGCCTTCTTGTCCAACATCAACCAACCTGATGTTGGACCCTACCCTAATGTGCTCCTGGAAGAATGGTCAAAAATCCCCATAAACACTCCTAAATCCTAAACCTTGTGGACAGCCTTCCCAAAAGATTTAAAGCTGTTTTAGATGGAAGGGGAGGACCGATGTCAAATTGAACCCTGTGAGTTAAGAATGGGATGTCACTTAAGCTCATATGTGAGTCAAGGCAAGTGAGCGAATACTTTTGGCAATATAGTGTATAACAGACTATAAATACAACTGTAGAGGATATATAGACACAAATAACTGCATAGTTTTGAGGTGAAAGCAAAATGGCTTAAAAGTAGTTATCAAACTTAATTCTCAAAGGTTCAAATCTGATTCCTGATTGAACCTGATCAGGTTCCAGTTATGAACTAGTAATAAACTAGTTCATAATTAGTTCATATTGCTACTTCATAAAAGCTAGTAATGAACAAATACCTTTTACTGAATTGGCTTACAATTTACAAATAAAACAACAAGAACTCATCAACTGAAACTTGTATTGCATCATATAACAATACATAGCATGCTAGTTTAATAAACTGAACTGTCTACCTTCAATGAGCTGTCGAAACTTTGGTACCATCTGAAATTCCACTGTGTTCTCTAAAATTCTGATTTCACCAGGTCAACCCATTTTGAACTTTTTTTTTAATATAAGCAAATGATTAATGTATAAAATTTCCAGTGTTTAATAGAAGTATAAACTAACTTTACTGGGATGAAAATAATATCCATGTGAAGCTCTTGAACATTTTGCCTGCCAGTAATCACCAAACTTATTTGATCTGACCTTAAAATGAAACAAAAGCCAAAGACCTAGTGTAAATGCTGGCAGAAACTGGTAAGGCAGTGTCATCAACCACAGTGAAATGTGTTCTGTCCTATCATGGGGTGAAAGGCCACTAGGCAAGGAAGAAACCGTTACTTCAAAAGATATATAAAAAGCCAGATTGCAGTTTGAAAATGCACAGAAGGACACAGATCTTCATCTTTGGAGACATGTATTGTGGTCTGATGAAACAGAGGAACTGTCACATTTCATAAAATAGATGTCATTAGGAAGAAAGAACATTAAATGGAAATATTGAAGCAAATCCAAAGACATCAATCAAGAAGTAAGAACTTGGGTCCAGATTGGTCTTTCAAATGGACAATAACCCTAAACTTAAAATCACTTTGGTTTCAAAGTGACTTAAGGACAACAATGGCAATGTTTGGTTGTGGCCATAACAAAACCTTGATCTCAGTCTAATGGAGAAGTTGTAGGACGACCTTAAAATTTCAAGCGACCTACAATATGGACTGCTCACCAGTTCTGTCAGGAGGAATGAGCCAGAACTCCAGCAAACTAATGTGATAACTTTGTGGAAGGAAACCCAAAAAGTTTGACCCAAGTCATGTAGTTTAAAACTGACACTGACCAAATGTATGTTTGCAGTTTAGTATGCTACTGCTAAACCTGTCACTGTTGAGAACTTCTCAGTAGTGTCCCTGAGCTGCCTGCTCTGTTCTTTATGATGTTATTTGTTCACAAATGTCTGTTAATAAATTTCTGAGGCTTTTACATCCTGTAATGGGTAAGTTGAATACAAATGCTTACCATACTTTAAATTTTCATTCATAAAAATATTTGAAAATCATAAATTCAACTTCATATTTGTGCTGTATATTTTGTCTTGGTCTTTCACATAAAATCCCATTAAGATAGAATGAGGAAAGTTCTGTTTATGTGACAAAAAGTGAAATGTTGTTCAATTGTCCTCTATATAAACACTAACAGTCCATTGTTTGTGCGATAGGGTGACAAGATGAGCTTCAAGTTGTTTAATAATTTTACAGAATTACACCAGACCGCACACAATTGATACGCTACTCTATTGTGTTTACACTAACCCCCGCATCACTCAAGAGATGGATATATTTTGCCATCTCACCCTCCCTACAGCAGTTCTTGTACTAGAACTCTGAGCTCTCTAAGAGCTTGTGACAAGTTTGTGTTTTACTTATTTCTAACATATGTCAAAGTTTGCATTCTTTAGTTAGAAACCTGCTGAATTGATTTTCATTTTTCTTGCTCAGGTGGTTAAGTTTTCATAACTCACTCAATTTTATTTGCACAGGTGAACAATGAAGAACATACCTACAAAACATATACAAAAAATTCTAACATTTTAGAGATATTTAGTTTAAATTTAATCATTTATCTTAATTATCGTTAACTTTAGACATGAATTTCTTTTACAATTTTAACTAAGTGTATTTTTCATTTATTTATTATTATTATTATTATTATTATTATTATTATTATCTCTCAGGAAATAATTTTATATTATTGGATTTTAGATAGATATTCAATACAGCCAAACTTTAAAACTTATTAAAGGAGCAATGCAAATTGTTTCTTCAATAAATTCTACATTTCTCTTACTCAAATACAATCAGCTGAGTCCAGTGAAAGGCTTAATAAGGAAAATGACTTTAGTCTAAGTCCTTTTCCCATGAATTTATATATATTCATGGAAACATATATAAATTTCCATAATACGCACACACACACACACACACACACACACACACACACACACACACACATATATATATATATATAAACTTTTGTCATAGTACCCCCACGAATTTAAAACTACTTTCACCCCTGGTATTAGGAAGGAAAAAATCGAATTTTATCTTGCATAACCAGAAGTTGGAATATGTGGGAATGGAAAATGATTGATTGGAAACTCTACTCTCTTTATCCTCATGAACCATACTCCATACCAGTAGGTGACAGTAGTGCTACTTAACTTTTTTTTTTTTTTTGCCAACCGCAAATAAAAATCGAGAAGAAGAAGAAGAAGAAGAAGAAGAAGAAGAAGAAGAAGAAGAAGACCTCTGTAGTTCACGGTCATGGCTGCTGCAGTGGGACGTTTGTCCCTGTGGTTAACCTCCAGAGTGTACGTGAATCGGAACAGAGCTCCATACATTTGCTGGCGACAGCAGAGAGGTTGCTGTTTCAGTCGCCCCATAGGTGCAACACGGCAATACAGTTATGACTCCAGGGATGACCTGAAGGTCCGGTATCTGGATGGGGAAGACGCGGGTACGTAGTTCCCCGGTGCTGATGCTTTGTGGTAATAGTATCGAATGTCTCACATTATTCAGTTTTGACACACCGAAAATGTTAAGTACATCCGATAGATCCTTCCTTTCCGAATGAAAAACTGCCTCGTGACTGAATCCGGAAGACTATTAATATTAATTACTATTAATTATTACTATTAATATTTCATCACTCTCCGCCAGAGCAACACCTCCTGTGACAGGATGTTCCTATTTTAAAGGCAGTAGTTTATATTTTGTGACCAAAACAGTCAGTCATGAGGAAAAATAAGCACACATCATTAAATATTAAGGACTTTCAAAAGATTGTGTGTTATATATATATATATATATATATATATATATATATATATATATATATATATATATATATCTGGAAGAGCAAGTGATTTAATTACAAAAATGCCTTTTTTTAAACCTAAGATATCTACAAAACATTTCTAACTTTGGAAAAAGTTACATCACCTTACTTCCTGGATCCCTTTTGACCTCCTGTGTCAATTGGAGAATATAAGTATTTGATATTCCGCCAGCAAGTGAAGCCTGGCGTCTACTGGCTTATCAGTCACTGGGGGACCGGTTCACCGGGTCATGTCTGCACATTTGGAGTTAATATTCACCCCACTGTGGCAAACTCAGTGACTTTCTTGCTATGTTTAGTGACATTTCAGACAAAAAAAGAAGGTGTTAGCCAAAATCAAAATCGGCAGGTTTTTTAAAGCTCGGCAATCGGCCAGAAAACTGCAATCGGTGCAGCCCAACTTAAATTGTAATACTTACACACACATATTCATGACATGCTTTGATTAAATTAATTTATCTAAAATGTAATTCCAATAGCTAAAAATTTAATTTATACCAGGCGAGTCTTTCTCCCCTGAGAATGTGGACCGGTACTGGACTGATTCTGAGCATCCAAATAATTTTAACAAAAGTTTCGCATATCTTAGAAGCTGATGTAAGATAAATGATTATGCTCAGCAGCAAACAACATATTACCAACTATAACTCAGAGTAGCTCATGGATTTATTAATGTAGCAGCTATGTAGCCTGACGTAAAAACATTTTGCTAGACAATGTCAAACATTGAGAAGTTTTAATTATTCTTATCAAACTTTATCAAACACGCTGATTTGAAGCAAAAAAAAACTCAGAAACATCCAGGGCCAACCACGAGATCAACTCATTTACAGTTAAGACCCAGTTTCACACAAACACAAAGATGCTAGCATAAATGTTTAGCTGTTGAACTGGACTGTTCAAGGGCGCTATCAAACACAAATCTTTTTGATAAATATTACATTACCAAGACGCATGAAAACAAACCTTTATTTTGGCTGTTTTCTATTCTTCTTCTTTCTTTTCTCTCTCCCTGAAGGATAAGCTGTTTTTTGCAACATTCTTTTGCAAAGTCATCTTCTACTGGAGCTTTGGACGTTTGGATGAGCACTATACATTGCAGCTCATATTACCGGGGAAGCATGAAGCACGGCTACCAGCGGGCCCCGAAGAGCAATTCATTTTTTTGTTTTTGTCCATAAAAATAATAATTTCTACATACATGATCAAATATGTGTTATTGTAAAAAAGAAATCACTTAATAATGAAATTTTGTATTGTTATAATGACAGAAATCGTAAAAAAAAAAATTTAAAAAATGGCTCCACTCAGGTGCCCCTTAGAGGCCATGGGGCCCCAAGCAACTGCTTAGTTTGCTTATACCTTGGGCCAGTTCAGCAGGAGGTGCAGAAATTAACAATGCCAGAGTTTGTAACGCCCACTTTCTGAGAGGTACATTTAAATTGTATTTTCAGATATTTTATTGAACAGTTACTTAGAAAGATATGGCCAAGTCAAAGTCCAGACCTGAATCCAATCGAGAATCTGTGGAAAGAGCTGAAAACTGCTGTTCACAAGCGCTCTTCATCCAACCTGACTGAGCTCCAGCTGTTTGCAAGGAAGAATGAGCAAGAATTTCAGTCTCTTGATGTGCAAAACTGATAGACATACCCCAAGTGACTTGCAGCTGTAATCGCAGCAAAAGGCGGCGCTACAAAGTATTAACACAAGGCGGCCGAATAATATTGTACGCCCCACTTTGCGGTTTTTTATTTGTTAAAAAAGTTTAAAATATCCAATACATTTCGTTCCACCTCACAATTGTCCCACTTGTTGATTCTTCACAAAATAATAAAAGTTTTAGATCTTTATGTTTTAAGTCTGAAAAGCTGCAAAAGTTTGAAAAGTTTAAGGGGGCCAAATATTTTCACAAGGCACTGTATGTCCAGGAGCCCCCGATTCCATAAACTGCCCCTTATTGTCATATGTTTTGTGTTAGAGATGTGTTGCATACATGACACCCTGCCTGAGCATGGAAAAAACTTCATCATCTTGTTGAGTATGTCGCATGTTAAAAATAATATTGGCTGATGTTGGTCTATTTTGAACATCTCGGTATCAGCTTGATTAGTTAAACTGGGCTGATATTAACAACCACTGTCTTTCCACCTTGTTGCCATTTGTGTTTCAGGAGGGTTAGGGGGTTTGTCATGGGATATTGTTTTGGTTAAGAGACAGTGATGCACCAAGGTATTTTGTGTTTTTTTGTTTGTTTGTGTTTTTGTTTTACTGAAGCAGAGAAGCAATGCGTGTGGCGTTGTTGTTTTTTTATGTTGTTGAAAGGAAAGGGGAAATATATAATTATCAGTTGTCTTCCATTACAATAATATGAATATCGAACATCAATTTCAGAATGAAATTTATATATTGGTCCATCCTGAACTATATCATCATATTGCATCTCTGTTTCAGGAATTGTTGTTGTTGGGATAAATCGACCAAAAGCCAAAAACTCCATAAGCAAAAATCTTGTCAACATGGTATGTATTTTTTTTTACCTTTCTGTTTTTAAAAAATCATTTTAGAATTACTTGACTCTCATTAAATCATTTCTAAGTTATTTTGATAAATTTCTAAATGTTTAATATTTTTGTGGATTTGTGCTTTAAGGCTACTTTTGAAATCTGAAGGTATCCATTGATGGGGTTTTCACAAAATGATATTTGGTCTTTCCTTGATAATGTTCGTTTGATGCCTTGTTTAAATTGAGTGTAAAACATTGACTAAAGATAATCAAAAACGCTTGAGAAACAGAAGCAAGTTGGATTTAAAATTACAATCGATTTCTTGATACTCATTTTCCTGAATCGATGTGGCATCTACTGATTTGGATATGCATTTGTATCCTGTGCAAAAAATTTAATGATGTGACGTTACATCATTACATGACTGTTAATGATGCAACATTAACAGTCATGTAATGTTACTGTTAATGTGTAACATGGACTGTTTTTGGAAAAGTCCATTCTAGTTTCCTCTGTTTCATCCTGTGTCACATTAGGTTTACAGACTTGGATAATGGAACACATCTTCTGTAATATATCAGCTTTTGTTTTATTGTCTTGTCTTTTTCTTCCAGATGTTTGAGGCTGTAGAGGATATTAAGAAGAATAACAAAGTGCGCAGTGTTATTTTATCCAGCTTGGTTCCTGGTATTTTCTGTGCAGGTATGCTCTTGGGAACTATGCTGTTTTACCTTTAGATGTAAAGTTTTGTGTAAATGTGCCAAGTGCTTATTTGTTCTTAAGAATGCTATGTTCAGAAACCACAGCAGATGGCCCTTAATGGTTCATCTTGCAACAGGAGGCTAAGACACAAAGTTGATGCTGTGATTTTGTTTCTGTGTATAGGTGCAGATCTGAAAGAGAGGGCAAAGATGCATCAAAGTGAGGTGGGACCGTTTGTTTCAAAAGCAAGAGCCCTCATCACAGAGCTGGGTAAGAACTTCAGAGTTCATTAGGTAGTTTATTTGCTCCTCTTCTTTCTTCCTCTTCTTGCTATACTTTGACACCAGTGTTCTATCATAAATATAGTAGAACTAGACGACCTAGACATTTTCCAAAATAAATTGTATTGGACAAAGTTTGGTGACTGGATGAATTTATTGACCATAAGTGATAGGCTGAACCATTCCATGGTGGTTTTTTAAGAGCTATTTTTTATTCTGCCTGTGAGTTACTCTTTTAATTACATTAATAATGCTTTATTGAAGCCAAGCGAAGCAGCTCACAGACAAAACAACAACCAATTAAGTTTGTAATGGCACACAAACTACTTTCAGCTGCAAGCAAAGCTTTTATTTTCCCTAGAGTGCCACCAAATGCAGCAGCATTTTATAAATTCAAACATAGAACAGAAAAGCAGAATCCTATGTTCAGAAAATACATTTGTGTAAATAATTACTAACCCAGGTTGTATTTGTAGAATGTTGTCTCAACAGTGGGTGAGAACCGTCTTATCAATGAATTTCCTGCTGAAGCTGCAAAGGCCATCAATCTAGATGTTTGTTACTCATTGACCGATCAAACTCCTTTTGTATTTGCTTGTCAGAGAGGAAGCCACTGAGGAAAATGATTAAATCGGCTTAAAAGGAACGTTTTACCTTTTAAGTAAATCGTTCACAAAATTCTCATTTGTCTCCAACCTGGACTCCTGTCTGGTCCAGCTGAACTACCGCTGCGGCTTGTGGGAATTCTCCCACTGGAACGAGAGCGCTGCCGACTTCTGATTACTTCAATTGGAGAAATGTTTAAATATGGTTGAATTTGACCAAATTATTGTATACCATATATATAGTAGAAACTATAGAAATTTGGGCTATGATAGAGATATGTGTTCTACCAGCTAACCGCGGTAATGCTTGTTGATGACATAATCGACTGCCTTCAACCCATAGAGCAAGCAGGAAGTAGCATGGCTGAGAGCAAGAGAAGAGCTCGTTAGAAAGACGGGAGCAAAAACTTTGATTATCTGAATGTGGTTTGGGTTTAAACAGTCAGACCAGGAATGTTATCTGCAAAGTGTGTGAGGTGACACAATAATGAATTAAAATTTAATTAAAAACAAGTTGTGAGATTACATAAATTCAAGCCACTATAGATGAGTAGCTCATAATTTAAATGCAATCATTTAATTTTATTGTTTATATGTAGTTATTGAGACCACAGTCAGTGTTGTTTTTTTTTTCATTGTGGAGAAAAAGGGTGCATTTATTTATCTGCTTGATGTGTGATGGCATGATGTGGATTCTCCATTGAATACTTTTTAGACATAATGAAATACAGTGCAATTGAATATGACATTATTATAATTTAAAACTGACAGGTAAGAATGAATTATCAGGAATTTTTGACACAGACTGTCAAAATGACAGACATCATGAATGACAGACATCATGAAAGTTGGGTAACACTCCTGTGTTACCCAGTGACGAGTCATCTTCCAGATCTCTCAGAGATCGTCAATGACTTCAAACCAACTCTGTCTGGCCGGCCCAATTGGAACCACAGCTCTGAGTATTTTAGGGCGTGGATGGGACCGGGCTTGAAGTGCTAATCCACTGAGCACAGCAGTCAAAATGGGGCTTTGGTGAAGTCCAGGGGCCTCATGCATAAAGCGTGCGTATGTGCGGCGCCATATTTTATGCACAAGTCGGCATGTATAAAAATTAACTTTGCGTCAAAGTTTGCGCAAATATACGCACACTTTTTTGCTGGTGTGAAAATGTGCGGTAGCCACTCAAAATTTTTCTGTGGACAATATCAAACTACAAAGCGTCAAAACTCACTTAAAATACACTGAAATCTTGAGGGGATTTAGTTATTTAGACCAAGAAGCATCAAACCCGGTGTTTTTTTCATGGTTTTAATATTTTATTGTTTAAATGTAAACAATGAAACTAAACTGCATTTATCCTCAGACAATAACCTAACATGCACACAAAATAAAGAAAATAAAAATAAAAGGATGTGAAAACTTCACCCTAATGTAAATAGTACTTTTCCTCAGTTTTTGTCTCATAAAGATGTAACACATTGGTCTGTGTGCTGAAGCACATGAAATGCATCTATGGGGTCATTTCATTCTCAGTAAAAAAAGAAAATAGGGTTGGATCAGCAGATTAACTCCAAACAAGGTGTGTAGGCAATCAAACGTACATAAGTAGCAGCGCAAAACCACAATTACGCGGCACAATGTAATTGTGGCACATATCCAATGGAAGGATTCAGAGGGAGCGATTGATCATATTGATCTGCTGGGAAATGTTCATGATGGTTTATTAGGGTTTACATAATCCAGACTGATCATCCTGGAACTCTGAGCAAAACTTAAAGAAGCGGTACCTGTACAACTGCAGTCATCCTTCAGTCAAGCCATTCTCACTTTGTGAATGCTTCTTTATGGATAGAAAGCATCTTTATTCTTTAAATGTCCAACTTCTGCACATGATTCTACTATTTAGAGCAGCATTTCTCAATAGGGGTGCTCAGAGGACGGCAGGGGGCGCTGGCGGAAATTTTTACAAAGGGGGGGCATTTGCTTGAAGGTAAACTTTACACCTTAAATGCACAACAATACCAGTTTAGACTTTGAGCAACTTCCTAAAACTATATTGTGTAACATTAAAACATGCTTGGCTGCAACTGTATCGATGGCAGCTCTTCTTCTCTTCAGTGTTTGTTAGCTTTTGGCGCAGCTCCTCTCCTGCTACTAGTAGCTTCACCGCATCAGTTCAGCGTTACACCGGCTGATGATGTTGCTGTGATTCACTTGTCTGGAGTCTGATTTTCAAATATTTTATGTTTTATTCAGGATTTTTGTGCATATGTTTTGGCAGTGCTATGATCATGTCAAAGCAGCAACTTATATTAGTGTTTTAATGTTCGTCTGGATGCTGCCCGCTTCCATGGAAGGACAACAGAAAATCGCTCTTATAAACATGTCACGATACCCTCACTGTGTATCCCTTAGAACAGGGGTGGCCAAAGTGGGTCCTCGGGGGCCGGAATCCTGCATGTTTTATTTCTCTCCCTGGTGGTAGTAACAACCTTCTCAGCAAGTCAGTGTTCCCCTTAGGCCTTC